CGCCTTCCGCGGGCGGTGAGGGCCGACCCGGCCTGGCCTGGGCCCCGGCGTTGGCGGTCAGGGCGGGCGCAGGGGTGTGAGCTGTGGGCCAGCGGGCGTAGGTGCGGTGGGCGGCCCGGGGGCTGGGGTTCCGCGCGGAACTTTGGGTACGACGGCGTGAACCCGCCCGTGCGTATCTGCGCGCCCCGGGGCTTTGTGTACAACTCGTGCGTGTGTCTGCCTATTGACTGGGTTTGGTGAGGCTTCATCCCTCCTTGGTGCGGGTCTGTAGTCTCCCCAGGTGTCTGTGTGCGCTGTGGCTGGGGTGTTGGGTCTCGTAGCTGGGTTGGATCATAGCCGTGCTGGGGGTCATTTATTCTCTCCCCACCCGAACCCTCTGTAACCAGTTCTACCCTCGTGGTTTCCAGAGGGGCGCACTGCCGGCTTCCCTACTTTGTGGATACTGCTGTGGGGATGAGAGTAGAACTGGAGCACTGGAGTGTTTTTCACGACCTGCCCCCTGCAGATGGATTTGGAGTAATTGATACAGTTGTGGGGAGTGACTAGTGTGTTACTTTGTCTCTGCTTATTCTTGGGTAATTGATGGGCATGGCCTTGTGGAACTGGTGGGCATAGGAATCCTTGGCAGGGAAACATTCTAGTGCTGGGGTGGGATAGCCCCGTTTTCTCTGTCCCCTCATTCAGGCATCCTAAGGAAAAGTTTTGGGCTATGCAGGGTGAAAGAGAGCTCCCCTTCAAGAATCTGGGTGCCCAGATTTCCTCTGGGATGTAGAGGCTGCGTTGTATCAGTCTGGGGAAGAGGTCCACACTGGGAGCTGTGTTCTGTGGAAGGTCTGGAGGGCCGGTTGGAGTTGCACATGTGAGTGTCCCAGTAGGACCCAGTGCTGTGCCGTTTTTGAATTGAGATGCTAAGAGTCAAAGACCAACCAGCACCCACTACCTTCCTGTTCAGTCACTGAGAAGTGTGAAGTCTGGGCAGGGGCCTAGGCACCCCGGTGAAATTTGGACCTCTTAGCCCCCAGGACTGGAGGAGCACAGGAGTGAGTGGGTTTGTAGGTTTGTAGGAGCTCATAATTCTTAGAGAATTCCTGGCCCCCACATCCATGCCAGGGGATCTTGGTCAGGGGGCTGGTGGGTGTTACATAGAATATTCCTGAGGTACCCCAAAGAGGGCCCAGCATATAGTGGGTCCTCAGGAAATATTTATTATGTGGGATCTCTGGAAAGAGGGATGTAGTGACAGAAATGAGCTGTCAGTTGAAAGAGGCCTTGTACTCAGGTGAAAGGCCTAGGAGAAGATGTCTGTTGCAAATTCATTTTGGAAGCTCAGAAAGGTTGGAAAAAATGCCTTCTTGCCCTGACCCTTTTGGAATTTCATTCATTTATTCATTTGCTCATATTCAGACACACACACACACAGAGTCACAGAGCTCTAGAGAATGCACAGAATCCGTGTGTGAGTACAGACACCAGAGCACCAGAGCCTGGCACCCAGGAAGTGTGTGCCCTCAGGGCCTCAGAGTGTTAATGGCTGTGGTGTAGGCTTACGAATGACATGTGCCAGGCGGGGAGGAGGACTGAAGTGGAGCTATAGGGAAGAGACTATACCTGCCCAAGGGAGGGTGAGATGGCCAAGTCCTGCTGAGAATTGAGAGGGGAGGAGAGCACAACATGATCAGATTCTTCCATTTTGCAAGAGAAGCCAAGTATCCAAAGTTTAAAATGTAAAACCTTTTGGTTTTTATATATTGGCAATGAATTCACCAAAACAAATGAATAGGCCGGAAGCAAAACAAAACAAAGCTTATGAGGGAGCGAGTCTGGCCCATGGGCTGAGGTGGCGCCCTCTAATGGCAAGCCACACATGCGCTGTGTGTCGGGCTCTATGGTGTGGCTGCAGGTACTTGTGGAAGAGACCTGCTTTGCAGCCCGAGGAAGTACCTGCTTCTCACTCCCCTCCCAGCTCTCCTGGTCCAAGCCTCCATCTCCACTGTTTACATAAAGGTTTGTGGCTTTGACCTTAGTCTGCACCTTTATGGTAGCCTAATCTGCCAGGCCATCCCCCACCTGTTGGCTTCTTTTCTGGACCCTGGACCCTTCTAAACCATCTGTCCTGCCTTTGACCCAGGCAGATCTCCGCGCTCCTTGCTCCAGTGCCTGGCTTTCCAGGTCCTTTGTGAGCTGGCATCAGCCAACCTTGGAGGCACCGCTGACCTTTCCAGAATACCCTCATCCATCCCCTTCACTGCTGGGGAATTTCCTACTCTTCTGAGTTCTGCCTTAAATGACATCAACCCCCAAAAGCTCCCCTGCTTTCTCCTCTTTGTTCCTGTGACACCTTAGTGATCTGTAACACCACCCTATCTCCCTGCCACATCATCCTCTCCTCATATAATAATGCCCATTAATTTAACTGGTTAGGGTTTTGTGTACATTAATTTATTAAGTTCTTACAACAATCTCATGAGGAAGGTGTTTTGTTTATTTCTTGTTTTACAGATGAGCCTACTGAGTCTGGAGAGGAACTCCCATCACTTGCCTAAAATCAAGTGGGGAAACTAGGATTTGAATTCGACAGCCACTCTGTCCAGGTTCTTCCGTCATAGCAGCTCATCACTGATACTTACTGGACACTTACTCTGCTGCTGCTCTGTATAGGTTGTCACCATCCCTATGTCAGCCTTGTGCAGCAGGAAGTAATGGTAGTATTGTAATTTTATATATGGGGAAACTGAGGCCCAGAGAGGATAAATGGATTGTCTAAAACCACATGCTAATCAGTGGTGGGACTAGAGACTAGCATGCATCACATTCCAGGGTGCAGTTGTGCTCTGGACACATGCGATGTCCAGCGCCAACAATCCTGGGAGACATTTGTTCAATTCACCTGGCTTTCTGTTTTCTCTTCTAGCTGCCAGCGGGCCAGGGATGAGCTGGCGTCCTCCTTCCCAATGGCATCTCCCCCTGGTCTGGAACTGAAGACACTGAGCAATGGCCCTCAGGTCCCCAGGAGATCGGCTCCTCTGGGCCCAGTGGCCCCACCTAGGTCTGGTGTGGAGAATGCCTGCTTCTCCTCAGAGGAACATGAAACCCCTTTCCAGTACCCTGGGGATGCCAGACTGGGTAGCTCGTCTAGTTCCCAAGGGGGTGTCCCCTCACTGCCTCGGTCCCAGCGGGATGATCTGTCCCTGTGTTCAGAGGAGGGGCCCAGTCTGGAGCCTGTGAGCCGCCCTGTGGACTATGGCTTCGTTTCTGCTCTGATTTTCCTGGTGAGTGGGATCCTTCTGGTGGTGACAGCGTACGCCATCCCCCGTGAGGCCCGTGTCAACCCGGACACAGTGACTGCAAGGGAGATGGAGCGACTAGAGATGTACTACGCCCGCCTGGGCTCCTACCTGGACAAGTGCATCATCGCAGGCCTGGGGCTGCTCACAGTGGGCGGCATGCTTTTGTCAGTGCTGCTCATGGTCTCCCTGTGCAAAGGCGAGCTATACCGCAGGCGGACCTTTGTCCCTGGCAGAGGCTCCAGAAAGACCTATGGCTCCATTAACCTGCGCATGAGACAGCTGAATGGGGATAGAGGCCAAGCGCTGGTGGAGAACGAAGTGGTCCAGGTCTCAGAGGCCAGCCATACCCTTCAGGAGTCTTAAGTAAAAGCCTACTGTATCTGGCTGCACTAGCTCCAGGGCTCCAGGGCCCCCAGAGGTCTGGGGTTTCGAACAGTCCCACACAGGGCCCAGGAGAAGGAGTCTTAAAGTGCTGGAGGGGGTCCTGGGACCTGCCTCAGGCCCCACTCAGGCAAGCGCCTGCTGATCTGTTTTACAGCCTGAGGTTTTGCATAAGGTTTTGTTTGGAAGATGGCTTCTGCTGCTAAAAATACAAAGTTTGGAAACTGCTGCTCTTAGAAGATGAGGTCTCTTGGCATTTTTAAGGGTTGGGAACCATTTGAAAGATTGCCTATCGTGTTCCGCCTCCCATGGGGCATTTCAGGACCTCTGTATCATTAACCAAACAAGGATGTTAGGTGACCCTGGAGGGGCACCTTTCAGTTGTGGCAGTCTAAGGTGGGAAGTAGCTTCATGGTAGGGGAGAGGCCAGCATTGGGGCAACCTCCTATAGCACCCCACTGACTGAACCACAAACCTTCCCTCTCCAGGCCTTAGCTGTTCTTCTTTGTGAAGCAAGGGGGTTGGACTGATGACCTCTTGGGCCGGTTCTGCCCTGGGAATGGGAACCGAGTCTCCACCTGTGGCCACCCCTTCAAAAGAAGAGGTATTTGTCAGGCACTGATGATTCTCCATACCATTTTCTGGCCCCACCTTGGTGGCCACCACTGTAAGGATGCCAGCTGCTCTCACAATCCTGCTAAGGAGCCTCTTGGCTGGGTGGGTTATATTCAGTTTGCCACAGCCTGGTTTTGGTTTAGGGGTCTAATTTCTAGTAGTGACTAATTTTCTGCAGTGGCATATTTTACAGAGTTAGGTGCACAGTTCTGACCCATCCTCTGGGCATGAAAGATATTTTATACAAGAAAGTATGAGGGCTTTGTTGTATTTGAGGACTTTGTTGTATTGTTGTGGGTGTGACTTGGGCCTTTATCATCGTCCCTCCTCAGTAGTATGTCTCTTGGGCCTGACCTCATTTTGTTAGCAGGAAAAAAAAGAACCTTTTTTAAATGCTGAATTTGTCACCTCTTGCTTCCCTTCTTAGTGGTAAGGTGCAGCCACAATATATCTGGGGAGAAATCAGGCATATTGAGGTGGCTGGGACACTCTGTCCTCACTGCCATTTGTTTTTTCTCTTGTGTAATGTTTCCAGGCTCCTTCCAAACTCAGCTTCTGACAAGGAAGGGAAGTAGGTTCTAGGTGGTAAGGACATGCAGGCATTTGGGAATTGGGGGAGGCATTGTCTAGTCCACGTGGCCCTAAAGCACTTCCTGAGTACATGCCTTCTATCCCACTGGTATGAAGACGCCAAGGGGCCCATTTCAGTGAACTTTGCTTCCAGGCAGGTCCCACATACCTCCTTGAGGTTGTCCGCATGGGCATGGATCCTAACTGTCTCCAGAATGGGAGGCTGGGGTGGACATGGGGTCTGCAGGTGCTCATTACCAGTAACATGAGCTTTCGATCCACTGAGTTGAACATCTGGGCTTACAGCTCCTGAGACAGATCAAATATCTGCTCTTGCTGGCAGTTTTAGTTCGGAGCAGAGCTGGGGGAGGGCTGAAGGGATGAAGATTGTTCAGCTTGGCCTCCTGGGCTCTGTCCTGGAGTGAAAAGGTTGTGGTTAGAAAAGAACAAAGCCCAAGATGGTGGATGATGCTCAAGTCCTGGGGTTCCCAATGGTAGATGGGTGCAGTTCTTGCAGGCTCCAAGCAAGGACAGCAGCAGAGGTGGCATGAGCCCTGCTAGGTGAACTGCAAGGGAACTGGGCATCCCAAATGATGGGCTAAGGCTTTTCCAATCCATAATGATAATAATAAAAGTATCAACCTGAGTCATTTGGATTATGGTGACAGTGGGGGACTTACTTGGATACTAAACCTGTTGAGAAAGTGCATCTGGGACCATCAATTCTTATCAGTTTAAATGCACTGAATTGTATTTAGGAGATAGATTGGTTAGGAGATTAAATCCCAGGAATCTCAGGTTTTCTACAAGCCAGAGAGGCCTGCTTTGCATTCTAATGTAGAAACTTCTTTAGAAAATGTGTGTAATGGATTGAGGCAGTCATTACCTTGTCAGTGAATTAACGAAACTTGAGAGATGCCAAAAACATTTCCCCAAGAGTGCAGCTGAGATCTCCCAGCTGGTGGATCAGAAACCGGTTTATGAAAGTGCCCAGGGGAAGCAAGGAACGTTGAGAGCTTTCTTTGAACGTACGATTCTTCGGGGTTAGGTGTGGAGTTGTGCTGAGGGCTCCTGTGGTTACCAAACATGCCTTACACCTGGACCTTCTACTAGGGCCCCACACTCAGGGTTTTCCTGGTATATTTGAACAGATACTGATTTCAGAGTTGGGAATACAGCCTCTGCCATTTACTGGCTCTGTGATCTGGGGCAAGTTACTCTGCCTCTTTGAGTTCAGGTTTCTTTGTAGATTGATGGAAATGGACCCAGGGAGGCGGCCTTCTCCTCACCTCTGTTGGGCTGACTCAGGCTGACTGTCAGGGCCAGCCCTTCTGCCTCCTCTCGCACCTCACATCTGACTCACCTGCAGATCTTGTCAGCTGTGTTTTCAGCACCTGACCACTGCTCATCCCTTCCCTGCCAAGTCTCTCACTGGTGTCCAGACTTTCTTCCTGCCCAGCTTCTGTCCCAGTTTATTCTCTGATCTCCAAGTGTGTTGAGAGGACAGGTCATGTCACTCATCTGTGCAAAACTCCTCGGAGGGTCCTTATGCCAAGAAAAGCTACATTCTCACTGCAGCCAGAGGTGGATTTATAGCAAAGCAAGTGACACATGTGTCTGGACCCCTTAGGTTCTTTCTGAGGCACTGAATAGTCTGCTATTTGTAATCCTACCTTATTTTTAAGGATTTCCCCCAAAATTTCTTAAGCTTTAAGTTTTCCCCAAATCTGGGTCCACTTCTCACAGTGACCTACAGTGCTTTGCACTGTCTGATCCCTGAGCCTCTCTGAGCTCACTTTCCATCTCTGGTCCCTCACTCACTCCGCTCCAGCCACACTCAGACTCATGCCTGCCATTGCAGGCTCCAAGCAAGGACAGCAGCAGAGGTGGCATGAGCCCTGCTAGGTGAAGTGCAAGGGAACTGGGCATCCCAAATGATGGGCTAAGGCTTTTCCAGTCCATAATGATAATAATAAAAGTATCAACCTGAGTCATTTGGATTATGGTGACAGGGGGGACTTACTTGGATACTAAACCTGTTGAGAAAGTGCATCTGGGACCATCAGTTCTTATCAGTTTAAATGCACTGAATTGTATTTAGGAGATAGATTGGTTAGGAGATTAAATCCCAGGAATCTCACCTTTCCAGGCACACCCCAATCTCAGGGCCTTTGTACAAGCTGTTTCCACCACCTAAAAGGCTTGTCCCTTGCTACCTGCAAGGCCCACTCCATCACCTCCTTGGGGCCTTATTTGAACATCACCTTCTCACTGAAGCCTTGCTGATCACTGTATTGCAATAGTATGGGCCAGGGATATCACTCAGCAGCATAAGCGCCTGCCTGGCAAGCACAAGGTCATGAGTTTGATTTTCGGTACCAAAAAACAAACAAAAAGAAATGCAACAGTATTCCTGAGAGGATTGACTGTGTTTTCTGAAGCTCAGAGGTGTTTGTAGCAGTCAAGGTCCCTTTCTGACCTGGAGAATTCCTGGGGTGAGGCATGGGGACCACCCATGCCGGCTTGAAGGGATGGTGATATTGGGAGGGAGGGATGAGGAAGTCCTGTGTTCCCTCCCAGTGTCAGGCCTGAGAAGGGAGGTGAAGGACCCTGGTGTTTTAGGGGCTCCAACTGTTGATATAGGAAGGAGAGAGGAGGCTGTGGGGTAGCACAGGTGATTAAGAAGCAGCCCAGCAGAGACACACTGAGCCTCTAGTGGACTGGACAGTGGACTGAGTGTGAGAGCAAGCTCACCTGTCCTCACCCCATCATAAGAGGCCAGCAAAGACACCTGGCTTTTCTCCCTCCTCCCATCTACACCCTGGAGGAGTATAGGCCCAAAAGAGGACAGGGTAGATGCCTTGGAACTGGGTGTGAGTTGGAAAGTTTAAACTGACTGAAATTGAGTTTGAAATCAAGCTGACCAGCTTGTTATTGGCTGGGCCCTAGTTGTTGAGATGAGAAAGGAGGACTTAACAGCGGTCAGAAACATGAAACATTTCATGTTTCTACATTGCAGTGAACTAGGTAAAACAGTATGTAGTGTGCTCTGGGTATCAGACTCTTCTATGTCTTTACATCTACTAGCTCATTTAAAACTCAACACAACTCCACGAAGGAGTGCCTATCATTGTTTTTCCGATGAGGAAGTTCTGACATGAGCAGGTTAAATGACTTGTCAAGGTCACACACCTGGTGAACAGCAGAGTCAAGACTCAAATTTCACAATATGCCATCGTGTGTTAGCAAGTTTAGTTAACTAACATGTAGGCCAGTTGGAGCATAACTGTGGCAGATCTGGGTTGTAGGCTGCCACTTTGAGGCCCATGGCTTGCCTGTGACTTGGGAACTTGAGAACTGAAGTCAGGCCCATAGTCTGCTTATTCATGGAAACTCACAAGATGGGCCGGATCTCACCGTCAGGTCCTCCCCTACCTCCACTTTTCAGAGAGGAAGAAAGCTAAAGATTTGCCATGGTTAATGTGGCTCAGGCTTCCTGCCCATCATGCTCAATGGCTTTCACTTGAATTTACATCCTGGGAACCAAGCTCTCTCCCTCTCTCTGAAGGGGAGAGAGCAGGGCTTTGTATTGGAGGCAGGACACCTATGTCCTCTCTATTCTGGGGTTCTTGCTGCAAGGAGTGGGCTATCCTGGATTAGGAACAAGGAGTCTGGTTTAACAGGCCCCAAAGAACTCCTGAGGTGTCATAGAGGGGGCGCTGACCAGGGTGCTGAACCGGTATGCTCTCCTAATAGCCTTGCTGAGGGAACAGGGAGCTGGAAGGGAAGGGGACCCTCGTATTTTTGTCACTCAGAGCCTCCACAACCGTTTTGGCCACTGTTCAGTGGGAAAGCCTTGGGACTTACAGCCAGGATTTATGTCGTCTGTGTTGCCCTGGGAAAGTCACTCTCACTCATCTGCTTGGGCTTTCTTTTTTACCTCTTCAGTGGGAAAGAGTATCTTCCATCCTTCTTAGTCAGAAAACTAAGCTGAGCAACACTTGAACCAGGTGACAGGACCCTGTGCCCCAACCCTGGCGCCCAAATTAGCCTCTCAGGAGTTCACCCTCACAGAGGGCTTTTGGGCCTGCCCGTCCAATGAAGATCTGCTGAGTGGCTTCAGATGCTCCTTACCTGGGGTTTCAGCTGCAGTGGCTGCAGGTAGAAGTGCTCTAGAAGGGGAGGCACACTTTGTAAGTAGGACCAATTTCATAGTCTAAGACCATCTTGGGGATTACTCAGCACCTTCCTTTCTCATGCAAGTCCTGACTCGTTTTCCAGCTTCTGGCATGGATTTTGCCCAGGGACCCATACTCATTAGACCAGGGTGTGGGACCTGAGCACAGCAGCTCTACTGAGAACACTGGCTGCAGAATGGAGATGCTGACCCAGATCTAACACCCTTCAGGGATATGTCCAGCACCTCAAAAGTAAGGCTGCCAGCAGTGTTTATATTGAGCTTGTGAGGGGGACTACATGAGAGAAGAAGCCAGCACATTGTGGGCACCAGGTAAGTGCTTATTTCCTGCACTGGGGATGGACCAGGTCTCCTCTCCTCTTGTCCTTGAGCCCCCATCCTTACCTCAATAATGACCTCAGTAGTAGTAGCAGCTGATGCCCACTGAGCCTTTTATTATCTGCTAGTAAGCCACACTGTTTGGTGGGACCCTGCTCCAATCCTGCGAACAGAAGTGATGGTCATTTTGCAGGTGAAGGCCACATACTGACAAGGGAGTGCTTGTAGTCACACCCATGCCTGCCTGGCTTTGAGCAAATTATCAAATCTTTCCAAACTATTTCTGTTCTAGAAAATGAGGTAACATCTCATTA